GGGTAGTGGCTCGCGCTGCAGCCGCACGCCGGCCATCTGATGCTTCACATGTCCGCGCCGCACTGGCAGCCCTCGCCGCTCTGGATGACCTGCTGGCTGCTGCACCTAATGCACCACGTTAGTATACGCAATACAACGTGTGCGCACGTGTACGCGGATACTACCCGCACGAAAAAAATTACGATCGCTAACAAAATGACTTGAGACGTCATAGAGTTCCAATTATATTGGCTTTATAAATAAAACTCCATTATATGTGAATATCGAATTAGAATTTTATAAAATCTTGTCAATATAGAATAAACGTTATTTAAATATTAAATCATTTTCGCTGCCTCGCAGAGGATCCTCACAGGGGTAAGCAAATATACATAAATAATATAAATAAATAAAAACCAACCGTCTCAACAAAAAATACATTTCGAGAGATCAATTTCATTAATTGAACATATAAATGTAAGATATTACTTTACCTAAAGCTAAAAAATGCCTTTACAAAAGAATTTTGTAATCCTCGTTTTATATAAGTTGATTTAATTATTTAGTACAGATATTTTATAAATGAAAACTCATATGAATGTAATGTGTAGGTGTGCAGCTGCTACGTATGTTGGTCCCCATTGTGATATCATATCTACGTGAGTCAGGCGAGCTGGCGCGCGCTGCTCCTCATGAACGTACCTTACATGACTTCGCGCTGCACTGGCTTATGCGTGTCGGACCTAAGTACCCACAGGTAATCTTACAATCTACCAATTTTCTAATTAATCGCATAAAACCTTATATATAACTATCTATCATACTTAGCAAAAAAGGGACTTGACAGACGGACGGACAACAAAGTAATCGTATGGGTTCCGTTTTTTTCCTATGAGGTACGGAACCCTAAAAATTAATTATTTACCTGATAGATATGTTTTATAACCATCAGTCTTATTAAGTTTGTTTGACAGATTTTAAGAAGTATTTTTACGCACTTTGGGTTGTCAATAAAATGTACTAAAAGTACGAATACTTGCTACTCGTATCGTTATTTTTGTCAAAATTAGTATGAGATTTTTAATGTATTTTACGTTCGTTAGTGACGCTTTTGATACAAATTTTATTTAAGCGTCAAAAGCCTAATGGCTAAGGGTACCGATTTCCGATCACGAGGTCGTGGGTTCGAATCCCGCCATTCGACTATTGTTGTAAACCATATCCTAGCACAAGCTTAGAGCTTAATTGGAATAGTAAAAGAAATATTAGTAAAAAATCTAAAAAAATCTGCTAATATTTTTAATAAAAAAAATTGTCTATGACAATGACGCTTGCTACAAATATTCATGTTTGACCCACTGTACACTAACTACAACACTCAACAGTTGAAATTTGCACACTAGAAGTAGTGTTGATTTCTTCATACTAAATTTACACTAAATAAGAGCATTTCACCTCTCCGATAGTGATAATTAAACGCGATTAAATTCAGTATTAATTAATATTTGCTAACATTTATATTGCAGGAATTCAAAACGATGATGCAACAGTCACCGGAGCTGCGCAGCAAGCTGGAGAGCGCGGTGAAGGCGAGCCAGAGCGCGCGCGCACACCGCACTCCGCCGCGACCAGTGTTCGACTCCCGGCCTGCACGACCCACCATACAACTCAAGACCGACTTCTCTGACTTCAGATAAACACACTGACAACACACATCGCTTCAAATACACACATAACTTTCAAATATGAAAAATGAGGTTATGATCTGTTTACATTATTCCAGTCCAGTGATAGAAATCATCGATGGATTATAGCGGCAAATGTGAAACTATACGAAGAAAACACACAGTGGCTTCCAGTCTGAGCATCCAGCGGTGATATCGATCGCTGGACTGGAATAATGTTAGCCTGGCATTAAGTTGATATTTTCACATTAATGGTTGTTCTAAATCCGAGTTAAAGATTTACATGGATTAAATTAATTTAGGAATTGTGCAAATATTCGCTTAAAAATATATGAGTAAAAATATTTGACTATTTTAAAAGCTCTTGAATGATTTACTATTTTTGATAGATCGAGGTAATTGGCATGTTTTCAAACGCGTTACACAACGATATAGGAAATTTTAAAAACAAAATTCAACGTTGAAAAGTAGTTCAGATTATAAAAATCAATTTCGTCTGTGAAATTTGTGTTAAAAACTTACCAATTGGTAACTTAATTTTTACACTATTATATGACGGGCAAAGGTGGGTTTCCATTTTCAGAAGGGTTCATAATGCATTTTCTGTTTACAAATAACAATAACAACGTAGGTAACGCGCGATGGTTCAACGTCCTTTCTATAGGACATCAACAGAAGAGTCCCGCTCCGGTCCCTCGGCTGATAATGTGTTGACCCATCGCACGCCGACAGACGGCGCTGGCGTCACGTTCCATAGTGAAGTCCACTGCCGCAGTGGCGCTAGTGTTATCTTAATTATGACAAGTATAATACATTAATAGAAGTGTTTCCTAAGTAATAAAAAGTATCCTTAAAGGATTTATTTATAAATTCATAGATATATGTATAAAAGTTGAACTCCAAAAGAAATTTATAAAAATAATATACATTGAAAAATTTATAATATTAATAAACTTAAATTAGAACGAGTGTAGAGTATTAATTACACAAAATGTAATTTTTCAAATAAATAACAATAAAAACGTTATTAAAAACTTAGTGAGACATACTAAAGTGATATATAAACACGGCTAAACACTCACGTATATTCGTCCGGTGGCGGCACCGATTAGTTTCTGCCTCGCAGTGAGCTGAGGGCCGCATCCGCGGAATAATACCAGTACCACTCATCCTGATGAAAGGCTTGACGATGCGCTCGAAACTGGTCGGTCTCGCCACCGGACGAATATAAGTGAGTGTTTAGCCGTGTTTATATATCACTTTAAAACTACTACGTTTTAAATTTAACAACAATTCCGAATAATTTTAGTAATCTAAGTTTTTAAAATAAGTTTAATCCGTTAAATTAACTGCAATAGTTATACCTATAAAGTTAACTGCAATAGTCATAACTATAAATACAATACTAAAATAACATACATATCCATAATATTAAACTTTAAAAAAAAATCCAATATATAGACATTATTAAGATATAGTTACTAAACGATAATAATTATTTATATAAGATTTATATATTAAGTATATGTTAGAAATACGTACTAATCATGTTTAGAATTTCCATTTTGAAAAAAAAAACGTGTCATCGTGTTTTGTGTAGATGTTTAAGCAATGGAAACTCTTAAACAATAGTATAAAAGTTCAATCGTTTTTCATTCATTCGTTCACATATTTAATTTCCATAATTAGTTTTATAGCTTTCAAATTCATATTATTATGAGTTTATTATTTTTTTTAATAAAATTTTTATTATTAATTTCGGAAGTTCAAGCCATGTCACATTTTTTTCTGACAAAATTTGGTTTCATGTTTTTTTTTTAATTTTTCAAAATATTCGAATATTTTTTTTGACGTAAAAATATAAATTTAATAGAGAAATATAAGCAAATTTTTTGCCGTTAGCTGTGATAGAATATAAAAAAATGCATTGCCAAAATGATATACGATGTTAATTCACTGCCTTAACCTTCCGAAAACTCGAGGCTACTAAATCTCATAGATATAATACATAGAGAACTGTATTTTAAGGTTAATTATAACTAATTAATCTAATTTCATGTATTTATTTTAATATAGTTTGTAGTTTTTCTTGTAATTCAAATATACAAAGTATCTAATAGTTGTGTTTCATTTTAATATTCTGTAATCCGCTAAATAAGTAATAATTTGTATTTATAATTAAATAGATTTAAAAAATATGTATTCTTCAATCTTTTTGAAGCATAAAACTAGAGGAAAATGTAGAAATAAATAGCACTTTTTAATCATTTTATTTTTTTATTCATAATGTTATAAATTTATTATATAAATTGTATATCACGATGATGTGTCTACAGCCATCGGTTCACTGTTTGTTAAATCTTTCTGGATCTCAATATTGTTTGTTGAGGATTTTTCTGGAAACAAACAATTGATAATGCTATCGTAAAATTCTACTAGCGTTCCGCGTATTATAAAACTTCTTACAGTTGTTTTTTACACTAATATAGTTAAAAAGGAAAGTCTTTCCAAGAGTAGTTTACTTCTTTATCGCCTAATGAATCTGTTCTCATACAAAAATTATAACTGAAAAGTCTGATTACACATTATTGCTATTATTTTCTAAAAGGCGCTGTTTTAAGATAAATTAAATGTTATAATTACTTCTAATAAATGTGGGCGGCAGCGTGGCCACTGTGAGGTAGCCGGTGTGTCCGGTCGTGCTGGTCGGCCACGTGGCCACGGTGTAACTCTTCTCACTGTTCGGCTTCTCTTCCACTGGACTTTCCGAACTCTGCAACAAACAAATCATTTCATTTATGAAACATTCTATCGAAAGGTTCCGATTCTATAAATGGGTTTCGAAAGATTTGTTTTATTGATTGAAAGTAACTATTGCCGTGATATTGTGACAATTAAACTCATTTTTGTCTTTGTTTTCCCAAAGACAGATAGAGAGATATCTGTATGTGTGTTTTAAACTGTGCAAATACCAGTACTCTGCTATCTCTAGCATGTTAATATAATAATAAAACACAACTGTTCAACCATTTCACCATTTCTTGTAGCATCTAATGGAGAAATGAATCTTTTAACTCACGCTTAGCGTAATTGCTTCCTGGTAATAATTCACAACAAAACATATAGACGTAACTGCGCGCCGGTGTCATGAAATGACAAGGCGGTTGGCGCCAAACGTCAATAATGACAGGCCGGCTGCGGCAGGTTACCACTCATCTTTGTCTTGCTAAAATCAACATTAACATATTCAGAAGAACCCAAATAAGTAACTTTCCTTTATCGATAAATCAAAAAAATCGGTATAAAAATGAAGCGATCAAGAAATACGAGAAGTCGACAATAGTCACATTAATATGCCATTGAATTGAATTACAGCTATAACATATCGTTAAACGATTCTATCAATATATTATTTTTAAACGCAATCGAACATAAACTTGATAAACCCAATAAATCTGTTTAACAACCTACTAATGCGACAGATTCAAAACATTAAAATTCAGATTAAAACATAAAACCTTCACGGTGTCAACACAGAATTTAACTTACCAATTGATGACATGTTGAAAAATAAAACTAAAACGAGATTTTAAAAAAAGAACTCGGGGCAAAGAGGCGCATTAAGAATTGAGATAAGAAGATGGACGAGCACTCAGACGGGCGACCGACTTTATTATTTATTGACACTTAAAATAATTACTGGCCCGTGCCCGCCGCGCGTGGCAGAGTGGCCGCGGACTCGGCGAGCATTTGCCTTCTTTTAGAAAAAAAAAAAATGCTAATCAGCGCATAATATTATAAACACACATAGAACAATAATTTATTTCTGATATAGAATTTCCAATAAATTAATAAAAAGCAGTTCTAGCTATATTTTCTCTTTTAGAAGGAGTTTGTTGGCTAATTCATTATCCGCTAATGACTCCAAAAAGTCTTTAGGCCCTGACGTAGCTTACTCGAAATACCTGTAGACCAGTTTCAGAGTTGATAGCAATCGGGGACTTAAGGAGGCGGTTAGCTCATCGGGTAATTAAGTTTCTACGAAACGATGCTTTGAGGTTATTTCTTACAAAGCGAGGGTAACAAACGAGCTGAGGTTCGGGAATCAGTTACGATCTGGATAACATGTGATAAGGTACTATAGTCATTTGCACATATGTTATTATCGCTACGGTCTCGTTAATAAAAAAGATATTTTGGTTTTCGCTGTATAAAATTTTTCTCATCCGAAACTCACAAAATGAATTGTATATATATTTTCGGCTTGTTATCCTTAATTAATAATCTCAGACATTTATGAAATTAGATCAAATATTTATCAATGAAATTAAATAATGCACGTGGAGTTCTTTTTAAAACTTACATATTACATACTAAAATGTTGTAGTTCACGGTAAAGTGTGACGATTAAACCTAATTCAGATGCAGGAATTTTGACTTTACACATTTAAATTATTATCATCGATAAGTATTCCTCGTACTGCGTTTCGCGCCAATCGCATTCTGGCACGTTCGGAGAAATGACGCAGTCAAAACGATTAAAAAAGAACAAGATGACAGCTGTCAAAAACAAAAGACATAACGCACACTTTAACAGAGTTTAATGGAAAGCTTCGCTGTTACAACTTAATAACAGTTTGCGAATGAAACATCAGATTATATAAATAAAAGAACAAAATATTATTGTTCGTGCTTATTCCCATCAGCATAACATATCCGATCGTAATGATTGGAAATAAACCAAAATATATTGTCTTTGTATACTCCGAAAAGGATATCTGAGAGGCGCTGCTATCGCGTTAACTTTTGTCAGAAAATATATAAAACCTACTTAGACATGGAAAATGACAAACGAAAAAATATAACAAGACACCTACAGTACGTTTACAGGAGGGCGCTAAATTGCTATTGGAATATAGTTTTATTGATGGCTACCGGGTCAGATTATTTCGTCGGAGTATCTGTGGGCGATGTGTGTGTTTTTGGACCGTTTAAGAGTGATAAAGGTCCATTATCCAAATACCGTAGCTTCCGAATTGACATTCCGTATATCTTACTGCAGATGAAACTAAAGACCTTTTCAACACATTATCTGTCTCTCTCGACACGACGAATCGCCTTTTTACCCGACTTCAATATCAATTCGTCTGTTTTTTTTTTAAATATCTGTTGAAACCCGTTTAAGTGTTGAATAAGGATGAAACTTGGGGAGTTAGCGTATTATTGTAATGTGCTGTGAATGAAAAAGCAGTCATGTTCATAATAAAATAGGGTAGATAGATTGATATCATTTTGGCAATAATCAGTAAACTAAAATATTATTATAAAATAGCATTTGCCTGTGACTTCCAGCATAATTAAAAAAAAAACATGCATCAAATATAGTCTTTGCAACCAGTGGTAATGTAATTTTCTAAAGGCAAAGGAATTTTTGAAATTAATCCAGTAGTTTTTGAGTTTATTCGTTACATACGCAAATAAAAATCTTTCCTCTTTATATTAGTAAATGCTTAAGGCACATTTCATTAAAATTTGCGGGCAGATATAGAACATACGTAGACGAAGTCGCGGGCAAATGCTAGTATCTATATAAAGTAATTCATTAAAAAGGTTGTAGTTAAATTTTGTTTGCGAGACAACGGATCCCAATCAGTGGACGAAGGCCGGACCCCCCGGGAACAAGTAATACGATTATACGAAGCCAATCGATCGATTAACAATCGATTCCATTCTATAATAAGCCAGCACTTTCTCTCAGATAAATGTCATACTCTATGTTATTAAATGTGTATCAACCGTAGAGCTATATAAGTTATAGACATGCCATATAAAAAAAACTATTATATAATTAATAACAAATTTATAGACAT